CTGGCTGGGGAATTCTGGGAGTTGAAGTCCACCCGTCTTAAAGTTGCTAAGGTTGAGAAACGCTCGTTTAAGACATTCAGCTCCACTGCCAGTAACTGCCAACAAGTGGTTTCCCAGAACAGAATGGAGCCCTAAGACTGAAAAAAGGATCTCATCCTGCAGAAAAGAGAGCTACAAACACTCCTTGAGAATAATTTTTCTCCAATCAAATCAGCGGTTTAGGAATGGATATGGAAGCTTTCTTCTGTTCCAAAAAGTGTTTATACTTCTGTATGTCCAAGTGATATTTTAAGCAGGCAGTTGTAGATGTGCATAATTTTCAAATATTTTATACACCCAGTTCCATTACGAATCATAGTACTGTACGTCTTAGTATCTTTTACATGGAAAATGTGTGATTTATGAAAAGTGCCACTCTAGAGACCATATATTGCTATCTGTGAATATTGTTATCTGTATTTCTATTTTGCTGAAATGCTTTTGAATGTAACGATGAGTGTTTTTGCCTTCAGTCTGCTCAGGTATTTTATGTTAGAGTATTTTGGTGTATTTTTTCAGTTTTAATATTTTGTGTATTAATAAAAGGGGGAAAAAACATGTTTACAGTGTTCTTCAGCAGTATGGTGCTAGCTTCAATTCTCACACCAAATATTTTAATCAGTGGGTAGATCTAGCTCTGAAAGCATTATACTGCCATGTTACTTTATTGTTCCCTATTGCTCAGCACTAACATATTGCATTACAAACGTCAGTATAGGAGAGAAGAGTAAGGATTCCTAGCATAGAATTACTTGGACTGGTAACTGACCAACAGAAATGATTGAAAAAGGATGCAGCTAACAAGAGTGAAGGAGCAAAGGGGAGCAGCAAACCATTCCAGATAGTTGTTGAGAAAAGTACATGGATATGTCCATGAAGCCAATCTCAATTTTATCTTCAAGGGGAGAAAAGAGTAGCTTAGTGATACTAATTTTCTGTCTGCTATATCCCCAAAAATGATGGCTTGGAGGGGGTGTTATTTTTTGAATTGGAGAGTTTAAATAATTTCATATTTTTCGATGAGCTGTCCATAGGAGGAGAGTACAGTACTTAGTTTTGTTGGTTGATATGAACCATAAAAATGAAACTACATCTAATCCCCTTGTGTAGAAAATTACTTCTATTAAAATTAATTTGGCATAAAACCTGATAGAAACATGTAGATTTAGTACAAGCACCTCTTCTTCTGTATAGCTAGAAAACCATTTGGTAGATTAGCACTCTCCAATGAAGCAGGTCCTTGTTTCAATTAAGCATAATTATGCTGTTTGGTATTTATGTTTCTAAATTTATTATATGGAAAATGAGAGATTCTTCTTTAACCATTTAAATAATTCTAGATTTTGAGTCCAAAATTGGTCTGCTTTTACATTGTTCAGTAACTATGACAGTAATTAAATAGTTTTAGAAGTATCTGTCTTATAGCTGTTGAATATTCACAATGTAAATGAAGACCCATCCTCAGGGCTCTACTTTATTTTTAAGAAAGTAATAGCAACTTTGAACTATTTCTATATAGTTATATACTGTACCTGTTCCCTTCTGGGTAAGCAATATTACACAAAATACACTGAGAGCAAAAGTAATTAAAAGCAAGAGATAAAAAAGGAAATTAAATCAAGTTTACACCAATACTTTTCACTATACCTTTCCTAGTAAGAAATACAGTATGGCGGAATGGAAATAATCAGTGGTATATAGTTATCTCTGGATATACTGTAAGTTCTATAAAAAAGAGAAAAACTGGAAGTGGCCTGTATGTTAGAAGAAACATAAAGTCCCATAAAGTAGAACTCAGAAATAAAGCAAACCCTAAAACTGAATTAATGTGGCTGTTCAAATTATCAAAGTAAGCTACTTCTAGGGATATAGTATTGTATCTACCCCCTATTTCTACAACTAAGAGACTAAAGCTAACCTGCAGAAAGAAAATGAGGGGAGACCCAACACTGGACCTAATCTTAAATAGTGTCCAGAATCTTGTCCAAGATCTAAAAGGCAATAGTGAACAAGTTGGGAATAATGAACATAATGCTATAACCTTTAATATAAATGGATACTTGCTGAAGAAATTTAACAGGATTGATAAACAGTTGACAAAAGGGACAAAAACAAAAGACTTTGAAGAGCCCATGGCAAAGGTGGTCATGAAAAGAATCCTCATACGTATTTGGAATGCTCATTGACTGGGGAGCATTGAACCTTTGGCAACGAGCAATAGACATGCTAAAGGAAGTTAGGGAAATAGGAAAACTGAATGAATCCTTTGCTCCTGTCTTCTCTCTTCTACTTTTGAAGATGCAGAGCAGATGCTATGTCCAAATTTGCTTTTTCAGGAGGAAGATCACATAAACTGAAACAACTTGAGGTAACAAGGAATGAAGTTATAAGCCAAACTTAACAAACTAAAAAGAACTTCCTCTACAGCAGTGTTTCTCAACCTTGGTGATTTTAAGATGTGTGGACTTCAACTCCCAGAATTCCCCAGCCAGCATGTTAGCTGGGGAATTCTGGGAGTCAAAGTTTTCATATTTAATGTTGCCAAGGTTGGGAAACACTGCTCTACAGTATCCATGCAAGTTCATGAAGAACTTTATCACACACACACACATATACAAATATGCAACTTCTCTTTAACATTTCTTCTCAAGGACTGGAATGTGACCCCATTGTAAAAAGGCTGAGAGGCAATAAAGGAAAGTATGGGCCAGTTAGCTTAATACAATGGTACCTCGAGTTACGAATGCCCCTCCTTACGAATTTTTCGAGATACAACCAGCTTCGGCCCCAAAAATTTACCTCGATTTGCGAACTCTGCCTTGAGTTATGAACCGGATCTGCGGCCATTTTCCCTGCTGCCATGTGGTCGCGGCTTCCTGTGGGCGAGATTGCGGTAGCAAGGAGACGTTCGGTGAGGG